ATATAAAGTAAAGAAATTAGGGAGTTAAAAAAGGGGGCGTTGGGCAAGATTCATTAGAGCTCACCCAGTCTGTCAGAGCAGCCACCAAAAGCTATCAAATATACACTTTATTAAGAATGAGGAACATTTGTGCCTAGCTGCTTAAATAAAAATATTGAGTAAACGACTTAACCTGTAGTTGTAATTTCGATTACAGAGAAAACACAACAAAAGAGTCCAGTAGTACTACATTTTGTCAGTGAAGTCCCAGATAAGCTGAGAGGTCCAGTGTTTGTCGTCTGGGGGTGGCGGGTATTGGGACATAGTGATTTGTTCTTCCCTTATAATTTGTCAATCATTGATTGACATTCGTTCCTTAACAGATTACAATCGACTAATATGTGTGAAGGGGTTACAATATGTCCACATGGGCATTTGGTCGGTGTGTAGGTGTAGTCTTTGAGCCTCGTGATGAGCTTGCGTACTTTAAGTGATGGGTGACTGACATAAAGGATGTCTACAAGATTGCTATCTATTTGATAGCGATGGGTGTTTTCTTGTCTCAGACGGGGTTTCCATGCAATTTTGCTCTCATCCTTTGCTACGCTTGGAAATTCTTGACTGCTATATTCTGTATGATTTAATGGATTTAATGGCAATCAGTTCTGCGGTGTACACAGAACAATGTTCTGGTAGTCTTTCCTGTTGCTCAGCTGTGCTTTGGATATGTAGAATCTTTTGATCCATCCGCATATATTTTGAGATGGTCGGTCCAATCAGAGCCTATTAATTTTATTGCTACTGCTCTAGCTTCTAGAAGGTTGTTACGTTTATTTGTGGTTTCGTTAAGTTATTGGATCACTTAATTTCCAAGGCGGTGTGACGGGAAAGGTTTTAGTCTCAATAACTGTTCCTTTCAGATTGTGCTTATTTACTATATCAATTGACATTTGCCCGAATGTCTAGGGCCTGGTGGTTTTTATATAAGCTATTCTCTTGAACTGCTTAAATGGCAGGTGTGTGTCGGCAATATTTCTTTGAGCATTTGCAGCTTGGCCAAATATTTGATTGAGAGTTCTTCCCGCCTGATATCAAGCGGAAGCTCCCCCACCTAGTGTAAAGGGGTAATTGTTTTTGTCCCTAATGATGCCCTAGTTGCTAATCTTATATTTTTACTCTGTATTTTATCGAGTCTACTCAGCTGATTGTTACCAGCGTTATAATACGCCAAGCATCCGTAATCGAGTATCGAACGGATGCGTGGTCTGTATATTAACATAAGAGTGCATCGGCCAGCTCCACATTGTGTCCCTTTGATTTGATGTTTTGGATGGTCGTACCGCCAGTTATTTGCCCATTTTGAAATTTGTTCGAGAGTATATTCTAACGAATGTCGTATTTTTCCAATATCTTTTGCTGACTTCCAAAAGGAGCTATCGTCTGCAAAGAGTGTCGATTCTGCATCCTGTCGACCATAGCTTGGAAGATCGTTTATCATGATATTGAAGAGAATTGGAGCCTTGCGGTGTTCAGTTTTCCATTTCGAATTTTTCACTCATGCAGTTTCCTACTCGTACCCTTATATGCCTCTTGTTTAGAGAGTGCTCTATCCACCTATACATTCGGCCTTTGATTATTGCGCCGTGGAGTTTTTATAAGAGACCGTCCACCCACACTAAGTCAAATGCTTTGCTTAAGTCAACGAAAATAGCACATAGATACTGCCCCCCAATGAAAAATTCGACGACCTTTTTTTTCTATTAACGTTTAGAGAAAAAAATATAACTAATTTATTTCTATGAGATCCACACTGCCCGAAAAATATTTTCTCGTCTTTTTCTTGTCCACTGCATGCCCGAAAATATGCCCGAAGCTCTCTTATGATATGTATGCCCGAAAAAACGGTATTGATTTCGGGCAAGTTTCTCTTATGCCCCCCTGAATTACTTTGAGCTCCTACGCCTATGGATACTGCCTGGTTGTAAATAGCTACAAATCACTTATGATTTCCCAATTGACTTTAATGTTAATTCTCGGTTCTTAGATCGGCTGTAATTTTCGTTGGGTAGAACGCTTTCTACCACGGAAGGCAACCGCATGCTTAAAAGCACGTATTCATCATGGAAAACTTAAGATACACAAACTAGTTGTAAAGACCACTAAACATGCAATTTTCGGCCCTACATTTCAACCTAACCAACCTCTCAACTCCCGTATCCTTTCGCCCCAAAATCTTAAATATTCACCCAAACCTAGCAGAAAATTATATTTCCAAACCCCTTTCTTCGATTCTACACCAAAAACAATGCAAAAGGGGCAAAAAGGAAAAGGGGGAGAAAGACTAAAAATAGCTTTGGCCCCTTGTTTCGTGAGCTGTGTCCAAATGCCTTTGATATATCATGTTGCAGTCTGATAATGTGGTCTGCAGTAGACCTATCGGCACGATAGCCACTTTGTAATGATATACTAAACAGGAAAAAAAAAAACGTCAGTACGATTTCAAAATCAGAGAGGCACTTTAATCAAATCATTCTAGAAAACAACTTACTAAATGGATCAAAGCAATTTTTTGTGAACATTATGTTGACACAATAGTGATTAAATTCATCACAATTTCAAGACATTACGAGAAGGTTTACAGTCTGCACACAGTCTATACATCAGTATCTGGTGTGTCCATCGCGAGTGTCATTAACTGCGTCTCAACGTCTGTACATGGAGTGGACCAAAAGATTGATGAACGCCATTGGCACCTGGAACCACACTCTCAGAAAATCCTGGCGCATTCCATCGACTGTGTTTGGTCTAGGTACGACGTTATTAAATCTCCTCTGAATTTCATCCCAAAGATGTTCAATCGGGTTTAAGTCCGGACTAAGGGCTGGCCAGTGCATAACGTTGACACCGTTCTGCTGTAGAAAGTCCCGAGTAACTCTGGCGGTGTGGGCATGCTGGAAAACGTTATTTCGATGATGTGCGAAATGTGGTATGACGTGGGGTCTGAGAGCTTGATCGATGTAGCGCACTGCTGTGATGCCGCCTCCTCTTCCTGGACCAAAATTTTGGAACACCACAGGACCCACTCTGTGGTTCAGGCCGATTCCACCCCAAACCATTATGTTTGGACCTCCCCATGAGTCTCGCTCCATGACAGATTGGTCAGAATAAGGCTGGCCACGTCGACGCCATATTCTGGTCAAGCCATCTGCAGTTGATACGCAATACCGACTCTCATCTGTGAACAGAACAGTTCTCCACTGCCTGTGTCGCCAGTTCTGGTGTTGTTGGGAAAACTGTAAACGTGCACGTCGATGGCGAGGATTGGCCCACGTTAAGATCTATGGCAATGGATGTCCTCTCTGATGAGAATTCGGCGCACTGTGTCCGTGTATCCGTACTGAAGGATCTTCTCTGTGTTGCCACTGTCTTACGTGCTGTCTCAGATGCCTGTGTGAAGGGATTCTGCACGTGTAATCGCACAACATGGCAGTCTTGTCGCCTTGTGGTAACCCTTGGCCTACCAGTTCGGGGGCGATCATCCGTGGTGTTGGTGGCCCGAAAGCTGAAGCCTGTAGATGGCCTGGACATTGACCTGGAAGTGATTGGCAACGGCTTGGAGTTGGACAGTGTGGCCAGCGTCGAGTCTTCCAAGCGCCTGGTTCCTCTGAGCTGTCGTGAGTCATGGCATGCTGCTGGCGTTGTAGTGTGAATGATTCAACCAGGTATGGGGTGCATTTTATAGGGCTGGTCACGATGAACAGCACGTGCAGCATGAGTTACATGAAAATCATGGAGAACACATTACCATCTCAGAAGTCAGGTTGAGTTTTTGAGAACATTTCCTGTGTTCAATTCTGTGTTTGGGAAGGAGCCTTAGTGCTCAGGTAAAGTTGGAGATGTGGTCACAAATATACAATGAAAACATTTTGCAAGTTTTATGCAATGCGTCTATTCAGAGTAACATACCAACCTAACGTTCCTTTTGCTGCTTAGTATATTAACTTTTTCGCAGAAGACTTCAGCCTATTTGTGATAACGGTTTCTAACGTTTTGCAGAGTGTTGACGTTAAACTGATAGGTCGATAGGACGATTTTTCGTTCTTGTCCTTGTTATGCTTATGCAGAGGAATAACTGAAGCAGTCTTCCATTCTTGCGGGGGTTTACCTTAAAGTCTTACGAACACGCTGAACGGGTTATATCCCTGATCTACTTTAAATTGATGTTCTTTGTTTAGTTATTGCGATGCATAACAATTGCGACAATTTCTGATAATTATTTATTGTATTGATGATATCATATAATGTTGTTTATGCACCAATGATAAAGACTTCGCTTTTTTGTTTACATAAAGATTCACAATGCGTCTACCTCCATGGTCAGGCCGAACGATTACGCTGCTGCAGGCGTGTGTTTCTTTGCCCTGCAACCTATCTTTGATAATAATGTACACTAAACATGTCTAAAATAGAATATACACTATTTTTTAAAACTTAATCAAATAAAACATATGCATTGCAATACTATACATGATGCATACATGTATCAAAAATTTCTGCACCCACAATACAATACACAATATATATTTTCACGCCCACATATTAAATTTGTATAATACTCATAACACAATTTATGTATACTTTTCACATATTTGTATAATACACACTACACATAATGTACATGTATATACCTTTCACACATTTAAACTATAATAACAATATTACTTTATCCAAAACATGTAAACTAACAAATGTACAGCAAAATAATTTGAACATCTGAAATTAGAAACGGCATTAGGTTTCTGAAAAGAGTAGGCATACCCGTCACTTATCTATAGAATAAAATCTTTCACAAATTGTGCAGCAAAGTTTTAAACCTATAGATGCTATTATTGATGTTGAAGACATATCTGCAGTGCTTAAACCTAACTTTTTCAAAAATCCATTTCAGGATCATTGTTTCAAAACAACAGACAACGTATGTAAGGGTCAACAGATTCTGGAAAAGGCCATTTGCCCAACTTAACAAAAATCTGTCGTTGGAACAACATTTAAAATATCGACAAGATTTGTCACTTTTAGATGTACCTGGCGATGTTCATATTTTTGGTAACAGAAAAGAGATTCATCATGTTGGTTATCTAAAAGTACATAAAACAGCAAGTACCACGATGTTCAACGTTTTTAGTCGTTTTGCTCTAAGTCGAAATCTAACAGTGGCTCTCCCTTTGAGGACGAACTATCTCTCATCATCCCGATCCCCCCGTTCATGGCAGATACAGCCACCACCATTTAATGAGACTTTTGATATGGTCTTCCACCATTGCTTTTTTAATGACATGGTCTTCAAATCACTGTTGCCGGACTCAAGTGTATTTATTGCGTCTGTTCGAGACCCTGTTTCAAGATTTATATCGGCTTTTAATTATTTTCGTAATGTGTATAAAAGGAGTTATTTAAAGCACATAAACAGCGAGAATAGACGTGTCCACCCAATCCACGAGTATCTTCGCAATCCTGGGCTGTATGACACGCGTATGACGTCACCCACACGAAACGGAATGGTGCGGGATTTCGGATTCCCACGAAAGTATCTTCAAAACCAGACTTTGTTTGAAAGATTTCTAGGTAAACTTGATACTTTTTTTGACTTGGTTCTAGTTGTTGAATATTTCAACGAATCGCTTGTTTTGATGAAAAGATTGCTAAATTGGCATATAAAAGACATTCTGTACACTCCTCTCGTTTCCGGTGATTCTAGACATGACGTAAAACTCACAGAAGACGAAATCCAGACATACAAACAATTTTCAAATCTTGATGTCACATTATATGAATTTTTCCTTAAAAAGTTCAAACTAACATTATTAAAACAAGACGAGACCTTTTTTCAGGAATTAAACTATTTCAAGAAATTGCTAGATAACGTGAAATCATACTGTAACTCTGGAACTGAAGAGATTTTTCATGTACAGAAATCAAAATGGGATCAAGAATTCGTACTGAATTTATCGGATTGCAAATATATGAAAACAGGAGAATTAGAACTTACCAAGATTATGAAAAGCAATCAACAAAAACTCATATCCGTAGCTGGTTCAAACAAACAGTTTTCTCTAAACAACCTGGGGAGTTCAGGTTCAGCATTTAACCCCTAAAAAATAGCAATAAAATAACATTGTGATGAGAGAATCCGCATCTGAAAGAATCAAGCAAAGATAAAAAAAAGTAATAAATTGTAGTTTTCTAAAATTAAAGTTGATAAGCTGTAGATTAATTTGAATTCTGTTGTTGGTCCATCATTCTAAAGCATGATGCCAAGTTTTCTTTTAGCAGTATAACTGAAATTTAGGGAAATGAAATAACAACAAATCTCGTAAAACTTAATACTATTGAAGAGAAAGTAATGAAATATACTTATATTTAATGTGTCATTGATTTTTTATGAATAAACTGTATATTACTTTCTTCAGTTTCTTGTTATTAAAGTAGCTAACTCAATATCATCCAAAGTCTTCGACATTGAAAACACGAATTATTTGTCAATTTAAATCAACATTGATGTTGTGATCTTACCGGGAAGATGGGCTTCTGATATCCAATATTTAAGATAAAATAAAAATTTTTACCATTGATACAAGAATCGTGTACCATAATACGTTTCAGCGCCATTTGTAACAAGGGACCCAAAGAACTGGGCTGTACATATTCCACAAGTCATGTCAAACGGTGACGCCAATGACGTCTTATTATAGACGTCATTGTGTGACCCATATTTTTATCTGGAGACAATGCGCAATAAATCAGTGTATCTCTAGACTGGAATAACCAGACGCCAGCGACTTCTGGCGTATCTAGAGTAAAAACGGAAACGATTGAATGTAAATCAATTATATATATATATATTCATATTACATTATTATATTGTGTCAATTTCTAGGTCATCAATTTCAGCGATTTAGCTCCTTTAAAATACTAGCTTCTATTTAGTTGCTATAGACAATGATCAAATAGGAAGACAACATGTATCACCTTTTCATTGCTATTATACTCTTCAAAAAGGAGGGAATATTGAGAAACAATACAAAACTGCGGAAATGCACTTCTGTTTTTATTAGAGGTAACCAGTGTATGTTAATAACAGGCCAATTGCCTACACATGAACATAAACAGTTCATATGGGCGGCTTATCTGACGGCCCCATTTCACTCGCAAAGTGAAAATGGACGTTTTTGATTTTTGTCTTAATAATGAGTAATTGCTCCACCAATCCTCAGACATTCAGCAATTCGGCGTGGCATGCTCCTAATCAACCGTTCAATCACGATTTGGGGCAATCTGACCCATTCCACTTGCAGTGCCACGGCCAATTCTTGCAGTGTTGTCGGTTGACGTTGACGTCGACGAACACGTCTCCCGAACAAATTAAACGTAACACACTAAAGCAAAGATGCGCTAAACAGTAAATCTTATGCAAGAACCGATAGGACAGCAAACATGGATAGATAAACAAGCACGCGGCAGTTTTCATCAACTCTTCCTTTAGTAGATTATTTAAGACTTTATTTTCTATTTATTAGAAGTTTAATACAATTTGTCATTCGTTACAGAACCAGATTATAGCAGGTGCGTATGCATCTTCAACAGTAAGCTTATAAAGGGCGCATGGATCTATTCTTTGGTACATTAAAATAGACGAAAAACCGTCTAAAAGCACATATTAATGTAATATGAATGTATATAAAACGATTAAACATACATTATGCAAGAGCTAAATCTGATTATTGCAAGTCTTTATTTAGGCTTCAGATGTCATAGAAATTATAAATTAGATCTTTATTTACACAAGCACAAAATCAACTCTGTAGACCCACGGATGGCTTGGATTCGGCTTGGATTTATACAGGATTTCATTGATTGATTAAATTTTTAAATGGCGTCGTAAGCGGAGATTAATCGTTACGTTGACGTCATACTCCCGGAAATTTTAGATCGAGGCCACAGAGTAATGGGATGTGGCAGAGCGCAAATGTAAAATGTAATGAAATGTAAAATGTAGACACGTCAAAAAAAGCATTTTTTCGCAAAACATTTGTCATTTAACACTTAACATTTGACGTTTTACATTTAACTGTTACCTTAGAGGTATTTTGACTTTATCATTACCGGTACTAGGACTTTGTACATTGTACTTTTTACATATATTCAATGGAAAAGACATTGCAGCAGAGCATTTAATATTGGCAGCGATACCCTTCCATAAGAAAACTCTAGCCTTTGTCGTATTCACAATCATTACGAGCAATGTGAGCCGGTTTTGGCATAAAAGGGGCATTACTCTAAAAATTATTAATCCGATTTTGCCGAAAAAAATGGGTTAGGGATCCTTGTCCTTTTATAATACAAGTTTCTGGGGAGTTTCCGAAAAATCCGATATTGCACTAATATACGTTGACATTGCAAAACAATCAGAACATCTGATGCTGATCGGCATTTTACACACCAATGTTTTGTACGGAAGTTAATTATCAAGTTGTCATTATAAGTGAATTATCTCGTAACTACAATCGTAAGTTAACTATCTCGTAATTACCAGTTAAATATCTCGTAATTACAAGATAGTTAACGCATGATTTTAAGGTAGTCACCTATCTATATAGGTGATAGCACGATATTAAAGAAGCTATTAAATCTACGGGTCCAGCTATGTGGTTTTTACTGCGAGCACTTCGCTTTTCCACATAAAGTCAGCGGATTCCTTTTCCCCGCGTTTTTTTTCTATCCGCTCTGATGACGCCAAACATCAGTTAGCCGGACCTCCTGTTTTAACTTTATTATGACAAAGGGAGAAGATTACCCGCCCTCACGACACCGGATTAGTAGTGTGTTTTAAGGAACTTTTGATATCCGAGAACTTTTTTTATTTTGTTTTTTTAATTAAATCAACCTGTCCATAATTTCATATGTATTGTATTGGACATTACATCTGTAATAAACAACAACATTAAAGAAGCATTACGCAAGAGCTAAACTTGCCTTTTGCAGGGCGTTAGTAGCACTGATCTATAGATCTGTGGTTAGTAATGGTAGCCTTAGACTTGACAACCTGCTCTAAATGACGCCAGGCTTGTTCCAACAAGTCAGAAAAGGAGTGACGTAGGAGCGAGTCTGACGTATTAGAGCAGGTTATCCAGTCTATGGCAGCCTGGGTACAGGGTAGATTGGACAACCTGCTCTAAATGACGCCAGAATTCCTCCCGGCAATGCGCATCTCTTTCTGCGCACAGTACCAATGTAAACAAAAACATGATCGGACGCTGAAGTAGGCTATGCAATAAAGATGTCAACACCAATTAAATGCAGCGGTAGTTTATGTTTAGCTTGTGGATTAGAGCCGAAACTATGCAATTTTTTCTCAATAATGGAATTTAACGGAACAACAATTAATATTTTGGAATTTGAGAAATACGCCTAAATCAAATGAAATATGATGAGTGATTTGCCATAGCCGGAGGCCTACGATTGTAACAAATGATAAGAGCTGATTTTAAACAATAAGATGTCGCACGATCAACGTTTAATTTGGCTAGAGAAATCTTAGACATTAAAGAAAAGCTTAACAAATCTTCTAGCTTACTCATTTTAACGCTGAACGCCATCATTAGAGATATACCCGTCTATTTTTAGTAACACTACGTCAAAACATCGCTGTCAACTACCTGTCTCTATGCAAGTCAGAAAAGGAGTGACGTAGGAGCGAGTCTAACGTATTAGAGCAGGTTATCCAGTCTTCCCTAGCAACGGTGTTGCGCATGCACATGTCGCTTCAGGTCATCCTTAGCAACGGTCACTCCTGTGATAATGTCATCCTTAGCTACGATCACTTCCGGTGATTATGTCATACGTGACGTCATAATGACGTGACGCCATATGGTTTCCCTTTTCTAGTGACGTCATACATGACGTGACGTCAAAGGGGCCTTCCTTGGGGATTCCCCCTTTTTTTTTCGTTTTCTCTCGTCCTTTATTGGGACACTCTGCAAACCTCGACAGATTCCGTTACTCTACATCTAGCCTCGGCTGTATGACGGTAAGTGATATGTACTTACGCCTATACAATTGCGATGCAGCACCGGTTTACTTATATATTTATTAGGAAAACTTGCCGCTTTTAAGAAAAAGTTATCAAAAGTTCGTCGTTCGAAGGGTGTGTAGAATTTTCAGTGCAAAGTTGTCCTTGTTTGAAGAAAATAGGATTAACATGAAAGAAAAACAGCTTCGGCTTTGAAATATTTGTATGATAAATGATAAAACATTCTTCAAAGGCGTCGTCGTGGGCAACGCCGTTGGTAATCCGGGAACTTGAAAGTAGTTCCAATGGCGGACTTCGTCATACAGCCGAGGCTAGATGAAGGGTACTGGAATCTTCTGAGGTTTGCTGAGTGTTTATTGGGAGTTAAATGTTCTCTTACTTTCTTGTCCTGTCTCGTTTTCTCTCGCCCTTTCTCGGGAGTTCCCTCCCCATTGCTCAGGGGTTCGGGGTTACTTTCTGGGGATTTCCCTTCCCCTTTCTTGGGACTTAAATTTGCTCTGGTGTTCCATCGCCCTTTCTCGGGAGTTCCCTACCCCTTTCTTGGGACTTAAATTTGCTCGGGGTTCCCTCACTCTTTCTCGGGAGTTCCTCAGGAAGCTGTCACGAAAAAGACTTTTTAATAACATTTTTAATAACATTGTTTAATTATAGAACAATAGAACAAATCAACAATTGAACAAGAACGTATTTACATTTTTGAAGAAGAACAACACGTTTGTCCACCCAAACGATTTAGGGATGGAAAATGATTTTGAGCCCATTGGTTCACCAGCACATCATTTTGCCGGGTATTGGTGCCAAACAATTGCAGGCACCGTTTCGAATGGTAGATAAAAAATAAACAGTAATGTCCACACACAAAACTCGTTAAACTCTGTAACCATTGGGGTTGATGGGTAGTGGGTCCGTGACGTTGACTGAAATCGACAAAGGCATGTCCATAGGTCTCGTGTGGACATCCGTTAGAATCGAAAAAATACAAGTGCCCAGGTCCTTCACACATAAACATGGTCCAGTGGATGCCGGGGTCTTGTTCGTCGTCGGTATTGACGACGTAGGCTAGAGGAAAGGGATGGGGTTGCAGCC